CTCTCGACGAAGACACTGAAATCGCCGTCCTCGCCGAGATCGAGCGCGAGATCTACACCGGCATGGAGGTCCTCGAGGACGCCTTCGAGGCGCTGCACGCACACGCCGAGACGGTGCGGCAGAAGCTCCGCCAGCGCGGCGCCGGGTTGGCGATGTTGGCGCAGGCGCGCCGGGGTGGGTCCGGCGGCGTCGAGGTGCGCGGTGGGACGCCGGCGAGCGGGTGGGGCGAGGGGGAGAGCGAGGGGGACGGGGGGACGGAGGTGGGGTGGTGGGAGGAGCGGAGTGAGATCTTGCCGGATGATTCAGCGAGTAATGTGAGTTTTGGGCGGAGGAAGCGGAAGGAGGCGCGGTCGGGGAGGAGGGGACGGGTAGGGTTGGTGATGGAGGCGGGGGATGAATGAGATTGATGAAAGACGTCATGGTCATGAGAGCGATTGGCATGCATTGTTTGGCGTTGGTTGGTTTTACATGCCACAGCGGTGACGGGAATGAGCTTATGAGATTCGGCATCGTGTAGGGTTACCAATGTTCCCAAGCCAGCTGTTGGCGCAACTACGCACTTCATTATCAATTTGCTCGGTATCATTAGCAAGCGTGCTTGATAGATCGCTGCCAAAGGGGGAAATCGAAGTTGGCAATCATCTCCCTATTACACTCAAATAATGAAATCCATGCCCTGGAGGTATGTTTCCACTAAACGCACCAGTTGGTTCTTTCGACGATCACTGTCCTTTGTCACCATCCATCATGGTCCAGTTTTCGCCTCTACATGGGCTGGGGGTGGACGTCCAGGTTATTGTAGCATCCATTTAGTTCACACTGAATCGACCGATACAACCCGTTAAGTCTCTTCGACTTTCCATAGGCTGGGGGGGGGCGTCCAGGATATTGTGGCATCCATTTCGTTCACACTGAATTGACTGATACACCCCCCAATCTCATGATTCGATAAGAAAGTCCTTCATTCAAGAATGTACTTTCACTCAGGCGATTTTTACCTGCCCTTATCCATCCGGTAGCTCCCAAACAACTTTTTCAAACTCTTTCTGCCTGTCTTGCAAACGGCGTGGCTAGCACGCATCGGGTGCAAACAGAACCCAATTTCCCCATGCCCATTTCGCAAACGGGTCCTTACTGAAATCAAGCATTCTCCAGGTTTCGCACCTTAAAAAGAATTCCACTATTCTATTGCCCGTCCTCTTCCTCCATCTTTCCATCTTCTTCCAACACCAGCTCTCTCCTGCATGTCCAGTCCGCTTCTTGTTTTGTCGTGGGCACTCCTCCTAGATATGGCTGACCTCGGATACATACCTAGTTCGCTTTGTCATATCCGAATATCTTTTATATTATCAAAAGTACTCCCTCCTAGTAGATGATAGGCATCCTATCCATACCGGCCCTGTTTGCCTCCTAGCATCCTAATAGAGTCGCATGCACTCCGCGTAGGCAATGCCAATATTCTATATCCACCCAGCTTTCCTCATCGCAGGTAGTTTCCCCATGTCATTGCCAAGTATACAAGTATACTCGTAGACGATGCGGTGGCCCTACACCTAGAGAAGTTTCAAGATGATCCGCCGGACTGCAGTCACTACCGGCTGGCACGCAATGCAACATCTTTCGATACACTGGTCATCGCGAAGGTAGCGGAGTTGGTTTTCAAGAAATTTGGATTGACGCCGCTCTTACAGCGCCCAAGCTACCGATAGTTATCCCAGATTCAGGGGCTGAATTTCGCATCACCCATGCACGAAATGATCTTCGAGAAGTTCTGTTAGGTTGCTGAGGATATGCTTCGGACTGCCAACGATGCGTCTCAACAACACGTTCGCATCATTGCACGCATAGTTCCCTTCAAAGTGTACTCCAAAGGAACATCTCGGTTTTGGAAGAGGTGTGTGTGTGTATGATTGATTAATCAGAAAGCTATCTAGGAGGTGGGATCTGTGGATATTGGTGATCACTTCGTGATGGAGCTAATTAGTCCCCATCAGGAAGTAATCCCCAATCCCAAGTGGATGGTTCATTTCCTACTACGTACACTCCCCCTCAAGGTAGCGCTCACGAACGAAGCGGTAATGGATCGCGATATGTTTGGATCGTGCATTGATCCAGTGGTCTTGCACTAGTGATAGAGCGGGCTCGTTATCAGTGGTCAAGGTGTGTCACCACCAGCTTGTGCTTGAGAGGTGAATTGGACTCTGCAAACCTGGGAGTCCCTGAGCGAGATCGTCGTTTTTCTCAATGTGCGTGCATGACTGGTCGCGTTAGACACCACCAAGCCATCAGACCATAAAGTTCTCATTGAGGACAAGATTGAATTTCGCGAGGCAGTCCGAAGAAACAACATAACGCAATGCGGAAGAAAATCGTAGGAAGCAAGTGTGGATATATGAAAAGGAGGCAAGATCTGCATCTTCCTTTTCCTCTAATAAGGCAGGATTCGAGATCCTAAGGTAATTATTACAACGATAAAGATGGTTTTTGGTTATCCTACCTTATAATAATAATAAGAATCAATTTAACGTACTATCTGGATCCCTTTCGGGTCTAATTATGAGCACGGTATTCTATCTGGTCTGCCGCGGGCAAAAGTTTCCCCGTAGCCCTGAGGCTGCGGGTACATAAAATCCCGCCTCCTCCCTTTAGTAGACTATCTCAAACGTTTATCATCTTTCCGTACGAGTCGGTGTTTCCGCCTACGCGGAGAGCTTATTCTGGCACATCGTGGAGGGGCTGGAACGGTTTCCAGTCCTCTATTACCTCCTTCTCAACTTCCTTGGCCACCCGGTATTGCTCTAGACCTCCCGCATCGATCAGCCACCTTGCTGCGTGACGCACCTTGTCCCTGTCATGAATATCCTCTTGAAGTTCGTTGTTCTAGCTCGTTGGAGGAGCGCGATTCTCTGGTCGGTCCGCTGCGGGCAAAATGCAAGGAGATGGTAGAGAGACTGTCGGGGGGCCCCGCATTCACACGCAGGGTGGATTCCAGGGACACCAATTTTCGCGGGCCATCCTTTAACTCCAACTACCTCAGTCCATAGTGCCATAAACGCCGAGGCCTCGTGTTTCTGAAGGCCATGAAATCGGTTAAGGCACTGGTTTTCCCACGGGTCCTTCCATGTCCTTGCTCTCCTTCCTGGTTTGGCCGCTTCGGCTTGCCATCTCTCCCTCCATTTCGCCCGATATTCATCCTGGATCACCCGGTGCGGGCCTTTTCGCTGTTGTGTCTGATATCCTCTAGCTGGTTCGGGCCGGGGGAACAGAAGTTTGTCATACTTGGTCCAGAGAGTACACATTATGGGTGAAGGTTTAGACCTGACACGGCGGGGTCGGCCTCGAGTTCGTCTCGGGGGAGCGGAGGCAGCATCCCAGACTTGCGTCAGGGCTCCCTCAATCTGGGCAGCGACCTTATGGAAGTTCGTCGATGCTGCTCTTTGAGCGGCCCGTTCTATGACGTAGAGTTCGATTGGGGAACGTCCGCCTCTCTCTCAAGCGCGGCGATTGGTGTCCGTTTGTAAGCCCCTAGGATATTTCGAAGGCACTTGTTCTGTACCTTGGCTAGGTCTTTCATTTTGCCTTCAGAGATTGGCCCCCCCTGCTGGCGGACTCCCCAGATTGGGGCGCCGTATGTCATAATGGGCCGTGTAACCGCTGTGTAGAGCAGCCTCGATTTCCGGACGGATGGTCCCCATACCGGCGAAGTTACCCTCGCCAGGGAATCGAAAGCCTTAAGTCCCCTCTGTGTTGCTCGGAGGATGTGGTCCTTCTATGAGAGGGAAGGGTCGAGCCAGACTCCCAGTACCCGGAGGGATGTAACCAATTCAGCTTGGTGTCCCTGTATCTGGATCGTAGACCGGAGATCAGCTATCGTACCTTATAAAACACAGGTAATTCGGGAGTATTTCACAGGTTATTTAACCGGGAGGCTTAGCAAGAGACCGAATGGGTGCTGGAAGCAACCATTATGTGGTGCAATTGACACATTCCTAAATTGGAATATGTCATGTAAATAGTTGTATCACCCAGAAGAACTTAACTATTTCAATGAAAGCCAAGTGTACAACTTTAATAAAGGGACCTATTCATTAGACCTGTCTCATCCAATCCATCAAATATCCAAGCGCTGTGGCCAGTCTAGAAACTACACAATTCAAGGGTTGCTAGTTTGACGAAGGATAACTTAGAGGATAGTATTCCCATAACTATCTATTTTTGCCACTCATTGTACACGATCTGCGGTACTGTACCATACTCTAACCCCCCCTGTGGAACTAAGTTTCCGAACATGGCCACAGAGACGAAATAAAGTGAGACGTGCCCAAGGTTCGGAGAAACTAAACCCATTCAGGGCTTGGTAATGAGCGCAGCAACATAAGCATTGCCACTCTCGCCACTTTCAAGAGAGTATAAAGCAATGTCGACCGCGACGGAGGTGGGCGGGGTGGAGGTCTAGTAAGATTCAAAGTCGAATGCCATGACTGTCACGCGACCAGATCTACATCCAAAAGCAACCACGCTGCTGTGAATATCAACGCAGCAGTGCCGATATTCGGAAGGAAGCCAAAGCATATTGTCCATGCCGCAGCTTATCCATTGCTGCTTCACAAATATAGCCCATGAACGGCTTGATTCGGAAGCAGCTAAATCGTGGGAGAGAATTGCGTGGTGTAGCTGTCCTCTTTCAGTCCGGAGGGATGTCCCATCATTGGAGAACGAAAGTCTCTGAACAACAGCGTCTATAGGCAGCGTTTGCAGGGCCGCTCCCGATCCGGCATCCCACAGCTTGATCGTCTTATCGCTCGACGCCGACGCTACCACCTTGCCGTCCGGCGAGAAGGCCACGGC